TCACTATACGAGGCCAGACACTCTTTGGGCCCGGGTGCATCTGACGTGTTTTCTGCTGGCCTGCTTTCCTTCGTCATGATGCGGTGCCTGCCCTCGGTCGAGCTTGGATAGCTGGAAAAAAAAAAAAAAAGGTCGCAGAAGTTGACGGGTGGTCCGGCGGTCTTACCTGGCCGTCTTCCTAGGGAAGGTGGGGAGTCTCCAGGCATTGCAGCTGCATGCATTTCCTCGCTCGCTGGGGCATGTGCATTCTGGGGGGGGAGGGGGGTGGCGTTTTGGATGGATGTGGTTGCGAGGCAGGATGCTCTTTGGGCTCGGGTGCATCAGACGTGTTTTCTGCTGGGCCGCTTTCCTTTGTCATGGTGCGGTGTTTGCCCTCGCTTGAGCTTGGATAGCTGGAAAAAAAAAAAAATGTCCGAGAAGTTGACGGGTGGTCCGGCGGTTTTGCTTGACTGTCTTTCTGGTGAGGGTGCGTCTTCGTTGCGCTGCTCACCATCAGCCAGAATTTCGAATGAATCTGGATATGCAATTTGTCCCGGTGCACGCTCATGTCTTTCCGTTGGGCTCCATTTAATCTGGTTTTGGCCCCGGGTGGATCTGACGTGTTTTCTACTGGCCTGCTTTCCTTTGTCATGACGCGGTGTCTACCCTCGTTCGAGCTTGGACACCTGGGGAAAGAAGGAAGTTGCAAAAGTTGACGGGTGGTCCGGCGGTTTTACCGTCACCTTATCATCCATAACTGCAGATGGCGGATGGCGAGCAGTGAGCTCCTTCCGTTGGTTCGCACTCTGAATCGAAGCCTCCAAATAAAAAATGTTGAGCTCACCAGTTGCGTGATAGGGGCCTGTTGACAGTGCTTAGGACTAGGCATGCTGATTTTGAACTCGATTTGAGGCCCTCCCAACTCACTAATGCTTCGTGAATTGTTTTGTGGCGTTCTGGAAAACCGTATGCCAGTTGGTGAGACCCGAACAGTTCCTCTGTTGCGCTGGCTGTACGCATTGACAGACGCCATGTTCGGGTGCCAAACCCATTGTCGTACTGTCCGTCGGATATGCTCCTCCGTGATGGTGCGACTGGTGGCCGGCTCTTGGCCATGTGTGTGAGAGATCGGCCGAGGGTGATACAGAGTGTCGTTGACGTAGGGATGTTGCTTAGTGTTGAGGGTGATCGGATCAATATCTTAGGACTGGATCCTGACTCTCCTGCTTCGGTTCCTGACCGCTCTGCTAGCCACTTCGAGCCCGCTTCGTACGATGAAGTCAAGGATGAGATTACGGACCGACTGCATTTTTGGGTTGCGTGTTGGAGTTCTTATTGAGTGAATGTTGAGTTCCCATTGTCCAGGATGGAGCATGTCCCCAATCCATTTCCTTCGCTTTGTTGCCTGTTGCTTTTCTCATATTTGTGTGGCCTCTCATCGCCATTGTTATGATTCGTGTGGCATGTTGTCCTTTATTGTTCTTTTGTTTCCCCGGTGAACGTCCAGTGTGGTTGCCTTTGCTTTAAAGTTTTTTTGGTTGTTTATCCCTTGCCCTCTACTTCGTTGGTCTGTCGTCCAGACCTCGTTTAGCATTGCTGTTTTTTGGGTTACCAATGCGTGCCCCCGTGTACGAGCCCTGCCGTTTAAGATGGAATATGTTTATGCTTCTTTTGCTCTGTCCGCTGATCATAGGAGTCATTTCCAACAATGGAAGGACTTATTCCTCAGCTGGTTGCTGGTAGCACTTTCCATCCATTGACATATCGGGATTTGAAGTATGATGTTCAGTTCTACCCGCTACGGAGCAAAAGGCCCTCCGATTTTGAGATGTAACAGGTGTCAGGTCAGGTGTACAGGGACGCAGATGGCCTTAGGTGGTCCCTTGACGAGCTGCTTCATCTCATTTATATCAAACAGCAGGAAATTGATTTGGCTTCACCGGGCGCCAGCTGATCAGCATCGACTGCACGATCAGCAGTTGGTTTTTTTGCTGCAAAAGATTAGGATGTCCCACGAGGAGCTGGTTGAGGTCTTAGTGGCAAAGCCGTCCACAAAGAAGGCACATGCAGCGTCCACGCCGATTTCCCACTCTGCTCCAGGAGGAAGTCTTCCGTGGTGAGTCCTGTTGCTTCCAATGCTCGAGCTGATGAGGATCTTGACAGGAGCATAGCTTTGTTCAAGCAGCACGAGATAGACCACCTCCGAAATAAGATAATCCACCTCAGTGTCCACTCAGACTTTGTCATTTGGGATACCATGACACGATGGAAGGAGAAAGTTGTTCGGCTTGACGTTCAAATCAAAAGATTGTTGATTATATTTGATATGAGGGGTGATCTTGCTCGGATTGTGTACCAGTTGTTAGTGTTGTCATACAACGACGTGCTTCAGGGATTTGACCGTCGTCATTTGCAGTCAACTTTTCGACAGTTGCAGTGGGTTGGTGAGACGTTGCTTTATCGTTTGGTCCGGGTTTAGGTTCACGCGGCGTTGAAGTTCGTTGTCACTGAACCTAAGGCTTTGTCTACCATCGAGGTGTTGTACCGTATGATGATGGTTGCAAGGAGAGAGTTCGTCGAATTCATTAGTGCCACTTTCGTCCAGCAATCTGTTGCCGCTAAATATGTTATCAGCTCGAGCATTGGAAGGAACATGACTCACCAGGGAAGACTTTCTCCTGGGAGCAGAGTGGGAAATCGACTTTAACGCTGCATGTGCCTTCTTTGCGGCCGGCTTGCCACTCAAGACCTCAACCAGCTCCTCGTGGGACATCCTAACCTTCTGCAGAAAAAAAAACAACTGTTAATCGTGCAGTCGCTGCTGATCAACCAGTGCCCGCTGAAGCGAATCAATTTTCTGTTGTTTGATATAGATGAGATGAAGCAGTTTGTCAAGGGACCACCTAAGGCCATTTGTGTCCCTGTACACTTGGCCTAAAACCTGTTGCATCTCAAAATCGGAGGACCTTTTACTTCGTAGCGGGTAGAACTGAACATCATCCTTCAAAACCTGATATGTCCATGGATGGAAAGTGCTACCAGCAACCGGCTGAGGAACAAGTCCTTCCATTGTTGGAAATAACTCCTGTGATCAGCAGACAAAGCAAAAGAAGCATAAACATATTCCATCTTAAACGGTAGGGCTCACACACGGGGGCACGCATTGGCAACCCAAAAAATAGCAATGCTAAACGAGACCTGGACGACAGACCAACGAAGTAGAGGGCAAGGGATAAACAACCAGAAAAACAAAAAAATGTTTTTTTTATTTTCTGTTTTTCCTCGTTCTGTTCGGCCCTCAAAGCAGAGGCAACCACGCTGGACGTTCACCAGGGAAACAAAAGAACAATAAAGGACAGTATGTCACGCGAATCGTAACAATGGCGATGGGAGGCCACACAAACGCGCGAAAAACAACAGGCAGCAAAGCGAAGGAAATGGACAGGGGACATGCTCCATCCTGGACAATGGGAACTCGACATTCACCCAGTAAGAACTCTCCAACGCGCAACTCGAAAATGCAGTCGGTCCGTGATCTCGTCCTTGACTTCGTCGTACGAAGCGGGCTCGACGTGGCTAGCAGAGCGGTCAGGAACCGATGCAGGAGAGTTTGGATCCAGTCCTAACATATTGATCCGATCACCCTCAACACTAAGCAACATCCCTAGTTCAATGGCACTCTGTATCACCCTCGACCGATCTCTCACACACATGGCCATGAGCCGGCCACCAGCCGCACCATCACAGAGGAGCATATCCGGCGAACAGTACGGCAATGGGTTTGGCACCCAGACACAGTGTCTGTCAGTGTGCAGAGCCAGCGCAACAAAGCAATTGTTAGGGTCGCACCAACTCGCATACGGTTTTTCATAATGCCACAAAACAATTTGCGGAGCATTAATAACTCGCGAGTTTGGGCGTGCCTCAAATCGAGTTCAAAATCAGCATGCCTAGTCCTAAGCACTATCAATAGGCCCCTATTACGCAACTGGGCGAGCTTAGCATGTTTCATTTGGAGGCTTAGATTCAGAGTGCGAACCAACGGAAGGAGCTAAGTGTTCACCATCCACCCGTTTTACTCGACAGATGACAGCACTTAGGGTTGCGCCGACCCGTTCTGACACAAGGAGTATACTCCTACACTGGCTAAGAATTCAGATGCTCAACTGACATTTGCGTTGCGTCGGCTTCAAACAAGTGTATCAATACCATGCTAGCCAGCTCCAACGCATTCAGCGGAAGCGTTGGTCACACAAACGTGGCCTTTGGTAACTGGGCCAGACAACAATCCAACGGTTCAATTCATTACTAGCATCTGTTTGGGTCGCCATTCGGTGGATCATTGTCGTTGTGAATTTCTTCAGGCTCTGGTTCCGTGTCGCTCGAGTGCCGAATGCTTCATGATCATTACATCGTTCTACGGCGGTTGTTTTTTGTTGCGACTGGTCGACCAAAAATCTGTTATGGTTCTCCGATTGATGTTGTCTTCAGTGTCAATCGTCTTTTCAAAACTTTCATCGTTGCTCGTGCTCTCGTTGGACTTTTGTAAGGACGCATCCTGTGTACGTTTTTGGGATAGCATTGTTGTGTTGTAACAGTTGGCCGCCAGGCTGGTATGCCTTTTGTGCTTTTTCTGA